GACAGCCTGGGATTGTCCAAGAATTTGGAACCACCTGGACTGGGAAGGTGTGAAGGTTCCCTGCCCATGGAACCTGGATGGGAATTTAAACCTGGATTTGAAATATTCCAGCCCAAATATTCCCAAGACTTTGGAGCCTCTGCCATGGAGACAGGCTGGGATTGTCCAACATTTGAAAAACTGGAATTGTCCAAGATTTGGAAAGCTGGGATTGTCCAAGATTTGGAAAGCTGGGATTGTCCAAGATTTGGAGCCCCCAGATCTATGAAGTTGTTCCTGCCCATGGAACCAGAATTTAAACCCGATTTTTAAATATTCCAACCCAAACCATTCCAAGGTTTTGGAGCCCCTCAGCCAGAGACAGGCTGGGATTGTCCAAGATTTGGAAAGCTGGGATTATCCAAGATTTGGAAAGCTGGGATTGTCCAAGAGTTGGAACCCCCAGATCTGGGAAGGTTCCCTGCCCATGGAACCAGGATTTAAACCCGATTTTAAAATATTCCAACCCAAATATTTCCAAGGTTTTGGAGTCCCTCAGCCACAGAGACAGCCTGGGATTGTCCAACATTTGAAAAACTGGAATTGTCCAAGATTTGGAAAGCTGGAATTGTCCAAGATTACAAAGCTGGGATTGTCCAACATTTGAAAAACTGGAATTGTCCAAGATTACAAATCTGGAGTTGTCCAAGATTTGGAACCCCCAGATCTATGAAGTTGTTCCTGCCCATGGAACCAGGATTTAAACCCGATTTTTAAATATTCCAACCCAAACCATTCCAGGGTTTTGGAGCCCCTCAGCCAGAGACAGCCTGGGATTGTCCAAGATTACAAAGCTGAAATTGTCCAAGATTTGGAGCCCCCTGATCTGGGAAGGTGTCCCTGCCCATGGAAGCAGAACTTAAACCTGATTTCTAAACATCCCAACCCGAACAATTCCACTTTTTCCCACCCAAACCATCCCAATTTCTGCCATTTCCCCCCAATCCCCAGGCTTCTCACTTGATCTCCTTCTCGATCTGCTGCTGCTCCCTCATCATCTTGCCCAGCTCCTTCTTGCGGTCCTTGAGCTCGNGAAGGTGTCCCAGCCCATGGAACCTGAATGAGAACTTAAACCTGGTTTTTAAATATTCCAACCCAAACCATTCCAGGTTTTCCCACCTAAACCATTCCAGGTTTTGGAGCTCTCCTGCCATGGAGACAGGCTGGGATTGTCCAAGATTTGGAAAGCTGGGATTGTCCAAGATTACAAATCTGGGATTGTCCAAGATTTGGAACCACCTGATCTATGAAGTTGTTCCTGCCCATGGAACCAGGATTTAAACCCTATTTTTAAATATTCCAACCCAAATAATTCCAGGTTTTGGAGCCCCTCAGCCACAGAGACAGCCTGGGATTGTCCAAGATTTGGAAAACTGGAATTGTCCAAGATTACAAAGCTGGAATTGTCCAAGATTACAAATCTGGGATTGTCCAAGATTTGGAACCACCTGATCTATGAAGTTGTTCCTGCCCATGGAACCAGGATTTAAACCCGATTTTTAAATATTCCAACCCAAACATTTCCAAGGTTTTGGAGTCCCTCAGCCACAGAGACAGCCTGGGATTGTCCAAGATTTGGAAAGCTGAAATTGTCCAAGAGTTGGAAAGCTGGGATTGTCCAAGATTTGGAGCCCCCAGATCTGTGAAGGTTCCCTGTCTGTGGAACCAGAATTTAAACCTGGTTTTGAAATATTCCCACCCAAATAATTCCAGGTTTTGGAGCCCCTCAGCCACAGAGACAGCCTGGGATTGTCCAAGATTTGAAAAACTGGAATTGTCCAAGATTTGGAAAGCTGGGATTGTCCCAGATTTGAAAAACTGGAATTGTCCAAGATTTGGAAAGCTGAAATTGTCCCAGATTTGGAGCCCCCTGATCTGGGAAGGTCCCCTGCCCATGGAAGCAGAATTTAAACCTGATTTCTAAACATCCCAACCCAAACAATTCCAGGTTTTCCCACCCAAACCATTCCAGGGTTTTGGAGTCTCTCTGCTATGGAGACAGCCTGGGATTGTCCAAGAATTTGGAACCACCTGGACTGGGAAGGTGTGAAGGTTCCCTGCCCATGGAACCTGGATGGGAATTTAAACCTGG